CAACAACGACAACAGCAACAACAAAAACAACTGTTACTACTACTAGTATTGCTGCTACTGCTGCTACCATTACTACTGCTGCAACAATAACAGCGGCAGTAACAGTGCTGCATCAGCATCGTCATCAACTACACCAACAATAACGACCAGTCACATTTCACGTTGAAATGCATTGTCTAAACAACAACAACAACAACAACAACAACAACGATAACAAAGACAACAACAGCAAAAATTACAACAACAAAAACAACAACAACGACAGCGGCAGCAGCAGTACCAGCAACAGCAACGATTCCAGTTGAGAAATGAGGGGGGGGGGGAGAACCACTCACAGAGTGAAGACAATGGTGCCACCGAGAACGTAAGGACATAAAATCCCAGGGCTCTGTGGCTAAGTTCTCACAATACATGTAAATGTCTCACCTTTATGGTCTTGTCTGGGGTGAAAATTGGCTCAACACAACCTAAGAACCACAGTCTCTTTTTATTACTCTGTAGGGTGCAGAAGAATGCTGGAAGGATTTGGCTAGATAATTGTATTTTCGAGTGCGTGTCTGTCTATTTGAAATTTTGTTTTGGCCTAGGCTGTGCAGTATCACTACAGGGAAACGATTTTTTGAAACGGAGTAAAAAAAAAATTTTTTTAATCGAGGTCCGAAAATGAAGTAACATTTTATAAGTATCGAATATGCCAATGACACAGATCTCATGGTCGATTCAGAAGAAAAAAATAGACCTTCAATCAGTTCTAGCCATTTTTGTTACTGGCCTTGTATGTTACTAGTAACTGAAGGTGAAAAGATCAAACAAATTCCAAAACATTAAATATCTAGAATACGTAATTACATCATATCTGACGACAGATCTACTGCAGAATCAAAAGAAAAAGTTGCTATACGGAAAGACAGTATCAATAAAATGAGTCCAATCTTGAAAAGTGGAAACTTCTCAATGATAATCGAAATAAAGATTATAAAAGACTATGTTTAGGTTAGTTTAGTAAGAGTTCTACAGCACTTGCAACACAATAAGGTCATATAAGTGCTAAAGATTAGAGACGTTACAAGAGAGAAACAAACACAAACAAGGAATTGAGATAAGGACAATAGATGTTTGATAGGAAAGAAGGAACAAACCACACCAGAGCCCTCGCCAACCGCCCACAAAGACTGTGTATTCAACTTTTCTATGAGGCTCTGAATGCCGGCCAGTAACTAAAGATAGTGAGTGGGTGGTTGGCGGGTGCTCTGGCGTAGTTTGCTCCTTCTTTCCTATCAAACAACTATCGTCCTTATCTCTCCTCCTTCTTTTTTGTATATGTTACTCTCTTGTAATGCATCCATTCTTCGGCACTTATATGACCTTATTGTGTTGCAAGTGCCGTAAAACCCTTACTAAAACAAAAGACGGTGAAAAGAAACTGGAGTAGGTTATGAAAGACAAAGAAATCAAATGAGGTAGTGCGGAAAGAAGCCAGTACTGTGCAGTCAGTAATGAAAACAATTTGGAAGGACACATTGACTTAATGCTTATATACGGGGTTTCCATTGGCACGTTCGGGTCGGTTGGGGTCGGTTTGACAGCCAGATTTTGTTTGTGCAAAGCGGCTATCGTGGCACAAACCGATCGCCCGACTCGTGGCCTCAAAAACAAATGAGTTTGTTTTCAGGCGACGAGTCGGGCGATCGACCTGACCCGACCCGATCCCATCCGCAACGGGCACTCGATATTATAACCTTTACTGCCCCTATTTTGTCACTTCAGTCCAAACGGGTGTCTATGGTGTTGCAGTTAGGGTCTTAGTCGGTTCAGGCAACAGACGTGAGTTCGCTTCTCGTTAAGGGAGAATTTTTATCGAGTACCTTTGTCCGTCTGCTTGCTGTATTCCTCTCAGCCTGGGTTGTTGGGTTTTTTTTAGTAGAGGATTTACGGCGCTCGCAACTGCATAAGGTCATATGAGCGCCGGAAGATTAGAGGTGTAACAAGGGAGTAACAAACTTAAAAAGAAAAAGGGGAGATAAGGACGATAGATGTTTGATAGGAAAGAAGAAGCAAACCACACGAGAGCACCCGCCAACCCCCCACCCAGCCTGAGTTAATCATCACAAGGTAGAGTCGAAGCAGTCCGCCTTCTCAATTATATAAGAGAAATCTATTGGGAAATGTATGGTGGGGGAGGGGGTGGGGAGGAGGAAGTAGAAGTACTGCAGTCACTTTAAAATCTCAACCCAATGTTCTCTTGGGAGGCCAAGTGCTACTGGGACTCTGAAATATCACATAATGTTACATGTATTATTGTGGATGGTGTTGGAATATCTTCGTTCTGACCCGGAGGACAGATGAAGTCCGAAAAAGCCTGGTTGATCATACTTCTTTTTTCTCCTTTCGTTGTTTCTATAATATATCTATAGTACTTTTCCCCTGCTCTGAATGGCCCTTCTCTTTACTTAAACCTAGACTCAGTTCTCATCGTTGTTGTTTTTTTCTTTTATTTCAGTTGAGAGGCAAGCAAGAATACCAGCTGAAGGCCAAACATTTCATACCTCCGGTTGTAAGTAGCTGAAAGTATTAAGAGGTTGTCATTATCATCAGCATCATTATCATCATCATCATCAGCATCATCAGCATCAGCATCAGCATCAGCATCAGCATCAGCAGCATTTACAACAACAACAGACATTCTGCTCTCTCTCGTTCTCTCTCTCTCTCTCTCTCTCTCTCTCTCTCTCTCTCTCTCTCTCTCTCTCTCTCTCTCTCTCTCTCTCTCTCTCTCATAGCATTATCTACACCATTATCATTATATTCAACAACAGCGGTAACAATAACAGCATCAATAACTACAACAGCAACAGCAAATACAACAGCACTGGTAACAAGAGCACCTGTTTATTCTGTTTTCTATACCAACAGACCCTCGTACGGGAACTATATAATATTATACTCTGTCTATACCTACAGGCCTACGCCCCGGAACTGTATACTCTGCCTTTACCTACCTACGTCCCAGAACTGTATACTCTGTCTTTATCTACCTACGCCCTAGAACTGTATACTCTGTCTATACTTACAAGCCTACGCCACAGAACTGTATATTTGCCTATACCTAGAGGCCTACGCCCGAGAACTGTATACTCTGCCTATACCTACAGGCCTACGCCCCAGAACTGTATACTCTGCCTTTATCTACCTACGCCCCAGAACTGTATATTCTGTCTCTACCTAGAGGCCAACGCCCCAGAACTGTATATTCTGTCTCTACCTAGAGGCCTACGCCCCAGGACTGTATACTCTGCCTATACCTACAGGCCTATGCCCCAGAACTGTATACTCTGTCTATACCTACAGGCTTACGCCCCGAGAACTTTATACTCTGTCTATACACACAGGCCTACGCCCCAGAACTGTATATTCTTGAGGCCACTGCTGAGTTTCGTGACGCAATGGCGATGAGTGAGAGGATGTCGCAGTCGCCTCCCTTGTCCCGCCGCACCTCCCCCTCTCACCGAGGTTACTACAGGAACGGATACGGTAAGTACACGTCCAGGTTTGCCTTGTAGTCCCGCAGATTGATGACGTCACACTCACGTTGTTGCGCCTCCAGTGATTTTCATTTGCTTCGTTTAATTGACTAAAAAAAGCAAAATAATAATTTGCATTTTGCTTTATAATCTCTGACATTTTTGTATGGAACAAAAGAACTTTTTAGCACCTAAGTTTAATGTTCAGATTGAGAGTAACAGTAGACGTTGTTTGTCTTAGAGTGCCTTTGTAAATAATTCAATTTCCCTTCACATAATGTTCACGGAGTCAGTTGACCCATACAGGCACGTACAAAGACCCTTCCTTCAGGTAATGATGTTGTGTTCAGTGCCCAATGTGCAGATCATGAACAAAACTGTAATGAGATGCGAGTGAGACCCCCCAAAAAACTCATCTAAATTGCAATCGTAAATGTCAGAGTGAAATAGCTTCCTGGAGTAATGGCGGAGCTTATTTGCATGGCTGGTGGCACTGCATGCTTCCCCGGGTCTGTCCGGGTTGGGTTTGTGTGTGCGTGGGTGTGGTGGTGTGTTTTAGATGATGTTTATTGCAATGTCGTTTTGGGTGAATGCATGCACGTTTCCTATAAACAAGTTTGAAATCACTTTGTAGCTATTTCAGTGTTTGTTGATGCTGTGACGTTTGTTGGTTTATGATATTTAGCATGGTCTGATTCAAAAGCAAACTATTTTAAAAATGAAATTATGTTTAATTGTTTCATATTGCAAGAGGTATTGTACACAGAATTATGTGTGCCTACTTTATTTACCAATGATATACACAAAAATTCCCTTCTTTGCCATCGTGATATAGAACCTCACCATGTTATATCTTGAGCGGTTCGTGGACTTACGCTTTCGTGTCATTTAAACTTTGATCTTTCCAGTAGTTTGGAGACCCACTTTGCTTATGTAGGAAAACTTTAGAATGCTTTCTTTTGTATTTCTTTTAAAGTTGTTGATGTTTTAGGTCAGATTTGTGTGCTTGTGTGCGTGCGTGCTAGGGTGAGCGAGTGTGTTTGTGAGTGTATCTGTGTGCTAGGAATGTCTTTCATTTGTATTTCTATAGATATGTGAGGAAATATATCAGGAAAGGTTGTTGTTTGTCAGGGCTTATTCTTGACTCTGTTTTTCCTGAAGGTTATCGTGTCTTTTTACATTATTTGATAACATATTCTGTGCCTAGTTTTTACAACGAATCTTTGTTTACAACTGACTATGTGACTTAGTCCTTCCTTAACGATTTCTTTTCCTAGTTTAGATCTGAAGAGTTTGTCCACAACCGCTCATTACAATTGTCTATGTGAGGGAAACACTGAACGTGCAGCTTCTGACGAGGGGGAATAAACTCACGTATTTCTAAAGTTCCTCAATGCGTGTTTTTGGCCTTTAATTTAATCGCAGTGCAGCTTTTAAAAGAGAAATGCGTAGAAAAGAGCTGTTGATTACGGTGATTAAAACGGAGAGGTGAAGAAGGGTGTGGAGAAGAGGCATAGATGGAGAATGTGTGGAGAAGGGGAAGGGGTGGAGAAAGTAGGTAGTGGTTTGGGTGGGGGTGGGGGCAGATTAGGAGTATAGTACAGCAGGAGATGGTTTTTGGTTTTCTTCCAGTAGATCGTCGACCGGTGCACCCCGTGCGTTCCCTCATTGTGACAGCCTCCCGCTTGTTTGAAATGCTTCATTCTCCTTACGCCAACATGCACAAACTATATACAGACTTCAACATACGTTAAGGACCACTTGCAAATTTGGCTAAAATTCCCCGAGGATTTCCGTGCTGCACGTGGCGGTTTTGCCTCTTTACGAAGTTTTGCAGTATGCATTGTTAACCCATTAACACTTTCAGGGCAACAACCAAAAAAATAATTGAAACAATACTTGCTGTCTTTTTTTCTGATTTTTTCAAATCAGGGCTGTCTGTCAAGGTGGTCCTTAACTTATGTTGAAGTCTGAAGCTACGTGACAACACACACTGACGACAATAACCAGAGACCGTGACCCTCAC